TAACAACAACTACAACAAAAATCTTACAAGGTAGGTAATATTATGCTAATCTTACAGATATGGAAATGGACACACAGAAATGTTAAAATATCTTGCCCAATGTGACTGAATTAACATGTACAAAATCAGACTAATCCAGCCTGCTGCTGAAGCCAGAACTCTTATCATAAACATCATGTTTATATTTGGTGTTTATTTAAAAATATATACATATTGAGCATTTACAATTAGATAATGTATATTACTGAGAAGTAACCATTGTTCTTAACCTTTACTCCTTTTACTGGTCTGTTCAGTGTTTTTCCCCCATCTATTCAAAGGTTTACAACTGGCAGTACAGATTATCAATGCTTTCATGATCTGTTTCTAGGATATAGTCACAATTCTTCCCCCTCACCCATTATAAATGCAGTCTCACACAGCATTTCTCTTATAAGTGCATTATGTAATGCTCTACAAGGAGGAATGTAGTATCAGGATTGGAGGAAGACTCATCAACAACCTGTGTTATGCAGATGACACAATGCTACTTGCTGAAACTGAGGAGGACCTGAAGAAGCACTTGCTGCAGAAGGTCAAGGACTGCAACCTTCAATATGGACTGAAGCTTAACAAGAAAACAAAGATCCTAACAACTGGGCCGACTGGCAGCATTATGATACATGGTGAAGAGATCTGAGATTGTTAACAGCTTTAGTTTGCTTGGCTCCACAATCAACAATCTTGGTACCAGCAGCCAGGAAATTAAGAGACAAATTGAATTGGTAAAGTCTGCTGTCAGGGACCTCTCCAGAGTATTGAAAAGTAATGACATCAGTCTGGAGACTAAGGTGAGCCTGATCCAGGCTATAGTCTTTGCAATTGCTTGCTATGTGTCAGAGCGCTGGACAATGGCTAGGGATGATAGAAAGAGAATTGATGCCTTTGAGCTGTGGTGCTGAAGACGAGTGTTGAATATACCATGGACTGTTAGGAGAGCAAACAGGTTTGTCCTGGAGAAGGTGAAGATGGAATGTTCCTTGAAGTCAAGGATTCTGAAGCTTCATCTGACATACTCTGGGCATGTTGCAAGGAGGGATCAGTCCTTGGAGAGGTACATCATGCTTGGGAGGGTGAAGGTACAGCATAGGATAGGAAGACCCTCAATGAGATGGATTGATTCAGTGTCTAGGGTAGTGAGGGTAGGTGTGTCAGAGACAGAAAAGTTGGCACAGGATAGAGCAGGTTGCAGGGCTATTATACGTGGGGTCGCTATGAGTCACAAGCAACTTGATGGCACATAACAATAACATCATATATAAACAAACAAAACTATCTAAGGAGCCCTGGTAATGTAGTGCACATGCAGGGCTACTAATCAAAACACTGGCAGTTTGAATTTATGGGAGAAAAGATAAGGCAGTCTGCTCCTATTTAGATTTATAGTCTCAGCAATCAGATAGAGGATCATCATGAGTTAGAATGGATTTTAACAGTGTAGTGCTCTATATTATCAACACAGATAAAACATACACAGCATATGTACTGGGGTCTACTCTATCATCTAAGAGACATAAGTATGTAGGTCATCTATCTACAGTAAGTATTTATGGTATCTACTGTGAGCTGAGCTCTGGAGAATACCAGGCACAGGAACTACTCAATAAAGGATTGCTAATGTGAGGTGTACAGCTAGTTGTACAGTGGAGAGACCATACTGTCATCATTCTATTTATAGTTAACTTTTGCACCACTAACTGTAGAAAAGCAGACATGTTGTGTCAATTGATATGATACAGTATGATCTACATAGGATCAGAATGAATTCTAGACACGATTACCTCCCATATCCATTCAACTTAAGCTTTTAAAGCCAACCATGAGTCCCAGGAAACAAGGACAGTTTCTATGATACTTGAAGGAAGCAATCACACTAATCCAGAGCTGGAACATTTTTCTTGACAACTTGTCTACCAACAAGCCAGAATCATGAAAAAGAAACTGATTTGGAATAAAAGACACTTCATGAAAAATAACCAAGTGTAATATATCCTGGATTGAATTTGGAAAAGAGAGGGGGAACTCTAAATTCAGTTTGGTTATTAGTAATATGAAACAATTATTATCATTAACTTTAAAATTACATATATACATACATGTAATAAAATAAAATTAAATGTATACATACATACATATGCAAATTGAAAAATACTGGCCAAATAAACGAGTGAAAGATAAAAAATCTGGGCTAGAGGCAGCAATTTTCAAGTTGATAGTATACATGGCAATTAAAACCATGAGCACAGATGAGATCACCTATGATGGTATGTAAAACAGAACTAAGGTAAGAACAAGGAGTTATCAATATTTCAAAGATTAGATATAGAAGAAAGAACCATCAGATTGAAACGGAAAAATTGGAGAGATGAAAGAGGAACACTGGAGACTGGTATCCCAGAAGCCAATGGAGAGTTTCAAGAAGGGTAAAACAATTACTGTTAAATCCTTAGCAGATCAAATTGGGTAAAAACTGAAAAAGAGGCTGGCTAACAAATGACAAACAGGCAGTCACTAACGGCCTGACTGAGAGGTGTTTCAGGGGAGTGACTGAAGCAGAAATTACAGGAGTAAAGTGCAGGAGACATCATTCTTCTTTCAAAAGAAGTCTGGAGTTTCTTAGAAAGATGAGAACTTGTATAACTAACATGTAGTGTTCAGATAATGAAATTCCTCATGATAATGCTAACACATAGCTAACAAATAAAAGAATAAGGAGACAGAAGGTTATGGCAGAGCTATACAGTTATTTCCATTTCTGATGTTGTCATGCCTAAATAAAAGAAATATCTGCTGGGTTTTTTTTGTGTTTTTTAAAAAATGTGCTCAATAGGTTGAATGCTAGCAAGGTAGCAGAAAGAAAACCTACTGGGAATTGTTTATGGTCAAGTCCATAGCAAATCAGAAACTCCATTCTAAAAGTCTTGGAAATGACCACTGGTATATGTCTTTCCTTTTTTGGTGTTTTTTCCCTGGTATATTTTATAAGAATTAGCAAATTCAGTGTAAGTACACTTAGGTTTTTCCCTTTTTGCTTTTTAAATAAAGGTGATGTTGCTATTTTACATAAAGATGTCATAAATGAATTCAGAAAACTATTTATTTAAAGAAATTATGAGGACTCCTTAGATTTCAATCTCCTCTCACTACCATCAGATCTTTATCAAAGAGATTAATAATAAGGTACTTATATAATTTTACAGCATGTATATATTTCTGTATCTATATATATCTCCCTTGCTTTATACTCTGATCCTCTAATATATATAAATGGATATTTTTAAACATATTTGATCCCAGATAATTTTCTACATTATAAAGTGATCTTGTTTGAATAAAAATGAGTTCTTTTTCCTCAGAGGGAAAAGATTTTAGATGAGATCATAATTACACAGCCTCAAAGCTGTTATCTTCTTTTGCATACTCAGAAACCTTGGTTTCCCACATTTAAAACTTAAGCCAAGTCTCTTTACAATCATTAAAATTAAAAAGCTTGAGAGAAAAGATCACCGTTATATTTACAGAATATAAATTCTATTTTCTGTCCTTAGTGAGGGAAAAAGAAATCCCCCCAAAATAAGCCATAAAACCCCCCAAACCAAACCTGTTGCCATTGAGTTGATTCTGATGCACAGTGACCTACAGGGTAAAGCAGAACTGGCCGCAGAGTTCCATGGCTGGAAATCTTTTTCTCTTTTTAAAAGAATTACTTTTAACTAAAATCACTACCTCTAATATAAAAGATATGAAATTGTTTGTAATGAGGTTAACCAGTAATTAATTCATAAGGTCAGACTGACAGCTACTAATTTTTTTCATAGTAAATTAGACTTTTAGAGTGTACTATATAAATAACATTAGCTAACATTAGGAATTTCCTACGTGCTAAGCATTATATTGCATATATAAGGGACAGTGCAGGAGGGGAAGACCCTCTATGAGGTGGACTGATTCAGTGACTGGGGTAATCGGGATGGGTGTGTCAGAGGCAGTGAGATTGGCACAGGATAGAGCAGGGTTTAGGGCTGTTGTACATAGGGTCACTATGAGTCGCAAGCACATAACAACAACAAGGATGATTGTGTGTATTTAATCATTGTAATAGCAAAACTTGTGAAGTAGACATCTTTGTTAACCATCAGTCTCATTTTACATGAGGAAACATACCCATTTTTTCTTACTGACTGTGAAGTATGCTTAGTTATTTCTTCCACTACTAATACCTGATAATTATTTTTCTATAGTTTAGAAATTAAAATCTATAAGTATCTTACAGAAAACAATCACTGTAAGAATGTGTCAAATACAATTACAGTACAACATTTAATTGTGTTTTCACCCTCTAAAAAGAAATTTTCTAAAATGATGAGGTGTCTTTGATAGCTGGGAAAAAAGTTTTTAAAACGGCGAGTGGCATTACAGTAACCATGGCAATGAAAAATAGATTTGAGACCTAGCTTTTACACCTCAGAATTAAATGACTCTATAACAACTTGCTTCACCTCTGTAGTTTACATTTCTGTTTTATATAAAGGCCAGTATGAGAATGTGCTAATTGTTTCTGACAAGTAGAAGTAGTTCAAAAGAGCCTACCAAAGTCTTAGTCACATTGTGTCCAAAAGACCCCCTGAAAAGAAAGAACTCTACAAAGGCTAAGCAAAGTTAACAGAAATGTCTTTGAACATGCACAGTGGTCCTTTTGCAATGTCCTTTGAATGTCAGAACAATAATAAAAAATTCAAGTGGATGAAGCTAGTCTTCACTGAGAAAGACAAACTAATTGGTTTTGGTTTAGTCTATCTAGTTTGGTTTCTGCAAACCCAAACAATTCTTAAATTCTATAAAGCCATGCTGTGACTACATTATTTAAGTAACTACACTCAGTCTGCATTCAGGAGTTTTAAAAAAGATTTGAAAAGACAAAAACATTTGTTAATTGTAGCAAATTAGTAAAGTCTTCTTACCTGCGTGGCCTAGTTCTTGGGGACATCATTTCATTCCCAAGAATGTGATACCGTCTTGCTTCATGCAACAACTGGTAACACTCAGGAGAATTCTGGATCAACTGGTCCACCTCAACTGTCTGAACAAAGTAATTGGGGTGCAACAGAGGGAGCCTCACGTGTGTCAAGAGTTCATGTAACAGTGGTCTTCTCAGATCCACAGCTCGATAGACCCAACGCATGACAGCCTCAAACACCATCTCTTCTTTACCGATAACAAGTTCATCACTACAGATATAATCAATAAGTTCATCTTTGTCAAGCTCAAGGAATTCTTCATGCTGGGACACATCTTCAAAAGTCTGCAATGCAAAATGCTTGCATTTTGTGAAGAGTGTTTTGAGTGAATGGGTATCAGCAAAACGCTGAATTCCTAAGCAATTACAAGGATCAAGTTGCTCCTCCAAGAACTTGGCGCAAGCATCACGGAGGATGCTGATCTGAAAAAGGCTGGATGTTTCAAAGAGGTATTGCACGTTCTCTGTAGTGATCTTCACCTTCCCAGTGTACACATACTGCAGAAAACACTCCATGGCTTCTGCTAAAATACCATTGATCTCAACCAACATCTCTCGGCTTTCCCTGTGGTCATTGCAAAACATGGCTCTGAAGTAGCTACTACAAGCTGAGAGAACAGCTCGATGACAAGGAAACTCCTTTCCCTCCACACAAATAATAACATCTGTGAAGAGTCGGCTATCTCGGAACTCATTAAATATCTGAAGGATGTTTTCAGCGTGCGATGATCCTGAGGAGAAGTCAAAAAACTCATGGCCTGTCAGAGATTTAGGGTCCATTTCAAAAACTTTACGCTTGGTTGCTGGGGAGTCACGCACCCCAAGATCCTCTCTGTTTAGTCTTCGTCCCAATATTAGTACCATTGTTACATCAGTTGGCTATAATTGTTGAGAAATTATAAGGATCTTCCTTATGTTGCTAAAAAGTAAAAAGAAAACATTTCAATAACTATAAATAATTAATATTCAAATATAATACATTTTTATATAAACATCAGAACAAAATCAAGATTAATAAACCAAGTATTATATTGAATACTGTGTCATTTTAAGAAAGACCAGTTAAGTACAGATGTATATTTGCACAAGTACAACAGGGATAACTTGTAACAATATTCTTTAGGCAATCCAGATGAAAGGATTCTATCTACTTTGTGAATTACTCCTCATTTACAATGCCAGGCTTCACAGCTTGACCAGAGTTAGGTTAGAATAGTGTAGGACACAGAATCTGAAGACATTTATAAGTCTAAAAAAATGCTATTTTTAAAAAAGTGCTCAGAGGGAACTCTGGTGGCCGAGTGGCAAGGAACTGCGCTGCAACCCTGAAGGTACATGGTTCAAATCCACCAGATGCTCCGCTGGGGAAGGAGGGGCAATCTCCTACTGTACCAGCTGGATCCGATTTGACGGTATGTGTACACACACACACACACTCACACACACAAAAAAGCGTGCGCATGCTCAGAGAGGAATTTCCAAGTTTCAATAGCAAGTGAATATATTGCCATATAGGTGTTTTTGTTGTGACATGCTGTTGAATTAACTATTGCAATCCTATGAATAAACGGGAACTTTGCCCAATCTTGTGTCATCCTCGAACCCATCACTACAGGCATCGTGTTGAGGGTCGTCGTCTTTTTTCCAAGGATTGGTCCCTCCTGACAACATGCCCAAAGTATATGAGATGAAGTTTTACCACCTGACCTCTAAGGAACACCCTGGCTGCACTTCCTACAATACATATCTGCTACTTTTGTCAAGCTATAAGGTATTCAGTACTCTTTGCCAACACCACAATTCAAAGTCATGAAGTCTTCTGTCATTCTTATTCACTGTTTAACTTTCAAACACATAGGAAGCAAATGAAAATACTAAAGCTTGTAGTAGGTACACCTCAGTCTTGACACTTTTTCTCTGGCACTTTGGAGAGGTCCCTTCCAGCAGAATTTCCCAAGGCAACATATTTTTTCTTGACTACTGTTAGTAGGGGTTTTGATTGTGGTGTCAAGTAAATGAAATCCTTGAGAATATCAATCATTTCTTGTTTATCATGATATAGTCTAGGTGCAGTGATGAGGACTTCGTTTTCTTGATGCTGAGATGTAAACAACATTGAAGCCTGAAGTCTTTCTTCAATTGCTGCTGCTGTTGTTGTATACTGTAGAGTCGGAACTGAACCATGGTTGACCCTCCAGTAGGTTTTCAGAGGCAGTTAACTTCATGGGAGGATATTGCCCATCCTTTTCCCTCTGAGCAGCTGGTGGATTTGAACTGTGTGTCTGGGATTGCAGTGCAGTTTCTCACCACTAGGCTACCATAGCTCCCTTCTTCTTCTTTAGTGCTTCAAATCTTTACTTTCTGTAAGCAAGGCTATGTCATCTACATAATGTAGGTTGTTGATGAGTCTTTCTCCTATAATGATGCTACATGTTTCTTCATATAGTCCAATGTCTCAAATTATTTGCTCAGCATATAGAATAATTGAATAGGTATGGAGAAAGAATACAACCTCGACATACACCTTACACAAACACATACAGTTTGTCCATCCAGGCCCTCCCTTTCCAGCATTCTATGATAAGGAAATATAATCTGATATATGAAGAAAGGTTTATCTAGAAAGCTGTTTAATGACGTTAACAGCATTTAAAGCAACTTAAATGCCCCATAAGGGATGAAACCACAGTACATATTCAGGATAAAACAGTCTGTGTAAAATTATGTAGTTTATTTAATGAAATGATATAAAGTACTAACTGAGAGAAGCTGAACAAGAAAAATCCTCAAACCACAAACACAATGTATATGAACTTTGTAAGGAAACTAATATAAAATAAAAATTTTAAAAAACCAAACAAATTCCCAACAACCCTCAACCCTTCAAACCCACTGCCATATTTGAGTTGGAACCAACTCACAGCTGACCCTCCAGTGGGTCTCCAAGGCTGTAATCATATGGGAGGCGGTCACTATCTTTCTCTGGAGAGTCACTGGTGGGTCTGTATGCCAAAGAGGTGCTGCCTTTGGGTTGTCAGAGTAAAGAGCAGGAAAAGGAATGCCAATATTTTGGTTGTTTAATTTTCTCTATTCTGCATCAAAGTTTCCAAGATAAAGATGTATAAACAATGTATTTAGAGTTTAAATGCACAGTAACTATACCTTGCTTTCTTTCATCAATAACATCCCCAAACCCATTTTAGAACTGACTGTAACTAACTAATAGACTGAGGCACTGGCTGCTACTTTTTCATTTTCTTTATAAGGGGGTTCTTCCACCCTCTTTCTATGTCTTCATAAGTTGGTACATGATCCCCAAAGAGAAATGTCAGTAACCTTCAACTATCCTAATTCTTATATGAACCCATTCTAAAGGTCTTCTCTGTGAATATTTCAATAGCAAGACATTAAGGCAGCAAAAAAGGACAGCAGAAATAATGCAAAAATCAAGTGTCAACTTACACTCATGCACAAATAAAATCGATACTTGAGTGTTAGCTATTTTTTAATTTTTTCTTTTTAATTGTGATTTTAATGGAAGTTTGCAGAAAAGACAGATTTTTATTCATTCACTATTTCACATTTTCTTCCCTAACCCCCAGTTAATTTTCTCCTGCCCCAGTCCACTTTGCTATGCACCTTGTATTTGGGACTGCTGTCATACATATAATGTCTAATCATATATTCCTTTTAAACAGTTTTTTCCCCTTCATCTGCTCCAATGCAACAAGCGTTACTTAACTCCTCTTTTCTCAGTTTCTCCCCAACGCCCATGTCAGTCCTGTTTTATAAGAGTGGCAATATGTAGTATTTGTCTTTTGTGACTGAGCTATGTCCTCCAGGGTCACCCATGTTGTGTAATATTTTATGAGTTTCTTGTTTTTCAGTGGTGCATACTATTCCATGTGTGAACAGACTCTAGTTTTTCTATCCATTCATTTATTGATGGGCACTTGAGTTGCTTCCCTATCTTTGCTATTGTGAATAACACAGCAACAAACATGGGTGCACATACATCTGTTTGGGTGGCAGCTCTGTTTTCTTTAGGGTATATTTCTAGCAGTGGAATTGCTGGGTCAAATGGCATTTCTATTCCCAACTTTCTGAGAAAGCGCCAGACTGTTTTGTATAAAGAAAGAAAGATGCTGAAGAATTAAACCACACAATCAACCAACTTGATCTTATAGATACATAAAGACTAATGCACCCCAAAAAAGATGAGTGTACACGCTTCTCAGTGTGTACAGAACATTCTCCAGAACTGATCATATATTAGATCATAAAGCAAGTATCAATAAACTAAAAAAAAAACCATAGAAATAATACAAACGATTTTCTCAGACCACAGTGCTAGAAAACTAGTAATCAACAACAAAAGGGCAAAGGAAGAAAAAAATGTGGAAGCTGAACAACTAATTCCCTTCTCGAACATGAGTGGGTAATAGATGAAATTCAAAAAGAAATGAAAACATTTTTTGAAACACTACTTAGAAGTCAATTCATAGTAATAAGCACATCAAAACAAAAACAAAAAAAAAACACATCAAAAGGGAAGGAAAAAATGATAATTACTTAACATCTCTAACAAGTAGAAAAAGAACAGTATGAAAAGTCCAACAACCTCTAAAACAAAGGAAATTATAAAAATTAGGGCAGAAATAAATGCAATAGAAAACAGAAAAACAATGGAAACTATTAAGTTTAGGAGTTGGTTCTTCAAAAAGGTCAATAAAATTGACAAACCATTAGCAAAGAGAACAAAGGAAAAGAAAAGAGATGAAGATAACCTGAATAAGAGATGAAAAGGGCAACGTCACAATAGAACCAAATGAAACAAGAAGATTAACAATCTTGTTACACTCAAACAAATATGAAAACTTAGAGGAAATAGAAAAACTTAGAAACTAAAAATCTTCCCAAACTGACATAGACTGAAGCTGAACACCTGAACAGACCTATTACAAAAGAAACTGAATGGGTCATAAAATAACTCTCAACTAAAAAAAAACCTGGACCAGATGGTTTTATTAGTCAATTCTATTAAATATTCAGAAAAGAGCGGTCATCAATTCTACGTAAAATATTTCATAAAAAGAAAAAAATGTTAATTAACTGAAGATTGCATTTTGTCTATCTTTTCACATATTAAAGGAGCTCTAGTGGCTTAGACTGTTAATCAAAAAGCCAGAGGCTCAAATCCACCAACTGTTCCAAGAGAAAAAGACTTATGGCCTTGGAAACCTGAGCTAGGAGTCAGTCAGTTGAACACCAGCGGGTTTTAAGTCTACCACAAATTAAGGAGCAGTAGTATCTCAATGGATTAGGTACTGAAATGGCAGAAGAATCCACTAGCTGTTCCATAGGAAAAAAGATGAGGCAGTCTGTTTGCATAAAGATTTTCAACCTTGGAATACTAGCTCTACTCTGGCCTACAGGATTGCTATGACTTGAAATTGACTAGATGGAGGTGAGTTTTGTTATTAAATTGTATTTAGATTTCCCCTGTTTTCAAGTTCTTATGTGATAACAAGGGGGGAAAATACATAAGATCAAAACAAGAAGGAACTCATTCTATCACATATATTACTTCTTCTGTTATCTTTTCTCAGACGCCCAATGACCCAGATATCCTAATTAAATACTTACTAGATAGTTCTAATTCTCATGGATTCTGTTCCTTTTGAATTTACTTGATTTTCTTTCATCACTGTCATGAATGTATTATGTCTCTATTAGTGTCAAGATATTAGATGAAGTTTACAGACACAGACATAGCTCATTGGTTGTTTTTTAAAAAATATTGTTTTTGCATAAGGCAGCATAGGCAATCTACCATATCGGTACAGACAGTACAGATGCTTCTTAAACTTCTACTAGGTATTTCTTTACCTCTTCATAGGAATTAGCATTTACAGAAAAACATAAAATACCTTCCTGAACTTCAGGAGATTAAAATAGTCTTGACAGATGGATTTCAGGCTATTCCAATTGTTCAAGGGAAAGTACCTGGCCATAGCAATATACCTCTAAGGATATCTAAATGCTTATATTCTGTAAAGAAGGTTCACTCCATCTCCCATTTTTCAAAATAAAGTTAGAAGAAATGAAAGAATTTTTATTAGTCACATGGGATAAAGACCAAAAGAAATACTAACTTCATCTGGGATCACCAGGTGGACATTTAGAAGCTGTATAAAAATTAGAAGCTCCTATGACAAAATGAGTTAAGCACTGAACTACTGAGTGAAAAGATAGGAGTTGGGACCCACCAGCTTCTCCATGGGAGCAGGATGTGGCCGTCTATTTCTGCCTTGGAAACCCCATGGGGCAATTCTATTCATCCTACTGGGGTGCTGTTGAGTTGGCAATGGTATGCTGCTAAGAAGTCTGAACTGTACTGATTTTAAAAAGTTCTAAAACGACTAGAGTAAAAGGGAATGCTGTTGGGTTTCCCCTGAAAATCCGGGCAAAAACTGAAGTTCATGAACACCTACTTGGTAAGACTTTAGGAACTATTAGGAACCAAATCTGTGCTCTGAGTGGTGTAACACATGGTTTGAAAGCTGTTATTTCCTGTATGCAATAAAAAGCAAAGCAGAATATAGCAAAAAACTAACGGTCTGATTGCTTTCCATATGCCTGGCACTATCTCAAACTCTTCATATGGATTATTTAGTATAATTCTCAGAACAACTCGATCATGTTAATATTATAATTAAAGAAAAAATTGGTTTCTAGCCATATGACTTTATATCCAGGTTTAATATACATTTTTCTAAAAGGCAGGAACTACTTACAAAATAAGTGAGACTGGAATGGACAAGCTTTACCATCCTTTCTAAATTAAAACATACAGAAGGGAGCTCTGGTGGCCTAGTGGCAAGAAGCTGCACTGTAATACTGAAGGCACACGGTTCAAATCCACCAGATGCTCTGCTGGAGATGGAAAGGCAATCTCCTCCTGTGCCAATCAGGTCCTATTTGATGGTACACACAAACCAACCAAAAAAATCATACATACACATACCAGAAAATTCCAAGTATAAATATAGATAAGCATTTTTTTTTTAATTGTTTAAGACAGATTTCTAATCTAATGAAAAAACTTTGGCAATGTGTCTTAATACAGAACACCTATCTTTTTTTCCCTTGTTGTGTACCATCAAGTCAGATCTGACTGGCACAGGAGATTGCCATCCTTCTGCAGCAGAGCATCTGGTGGATTTGAACCGTGTGCCTTCGGAATTATAGTGTAGCTTCTTGCTACTAGGCCACCAGAGCTCCCTTAAGAACACGTATTGAAATCATTTTGCACAAGAATAAAAATAAAAACCCAAGACAATGCTTATTAGTGGCTGGCTTTTAGAGCAAATCGGCTATGAGTTTGCTTCCAACTCAATGATAGTGCAAGAGTTTTACTTTATAAAATTTATTTTTCTTCAGTTCAAGGGATTATTTTGTCTACACATTCAATACAGTTCAAGTAAACTAGCTTTTTAAAATGTAATCCAGTAATCCAATAATCTTTGGAAGTTCTGAGTGGAAATCTGCTGATGAATAAATAAAAGCTTGAAATGTCATCTTCTTAACTTTAAAACCTGAATTAATAAAAATATGTCTGAGCTTCCGTTTTCATGCTAGCCTCACTGCAGGCGTTTAATATTTTGGATTATGGCTGGACATGTGTGCATGTATGCAGTGAACATGCAATTAGGGAGAACATGTATGCATGTGTGCAGGTTTAAGTTTTAAAAAATCCATTGATAGGCATGAATAACCATTTCTAAGTTCCAATAATCACTTCTAAGTCCCAAAAATGACTAATAGAAGTACAAAATGTTTTTATTTTGAAGATATCTCAATAACAACTCTATATACAGAAACTCCCATAACAAGAGAGATCACTACTGAGCTTGGATGTCAAATTTTGTTGCTGAAATGACAAAAAAGTTCAAATCATGTGATCACAGTGATAAAAAATAGGAAGAGAAGTAATATTTTCATTATAATAAATAAACTAAGGGACATAAGATTATAGTTAATACTTCAATTTAAAGCTTTAAATTAAAGCTTTAAAAATAAAGATAAATTTATTATCACAGCTTCACAAATTAAAAAAATATATTCTTCAAGTTAGCTTATCTAATTGAAATTATTAATTATTTCAGGTTCTAAAAATTCACATAAATTACTTTACTGCTGACACTCAAAATCCTGTATTTGAGCCCTGGAGGAGCAGTTTGTAGTGGGTCATGCTAATCCTCTCTGGTGGTCTGAATCTACTGCTGACTCCAGAGAAAAAGAAGGACAATTTCCTCCTGTGCAAGTCTCTGAGAACTCACCGAATGGATGAGTTGATTGACAAGGATAAGAGTGAACTGTTCTATGTTCTATTAGAATAGGTATAAAATCACCTGGTATTAAAAAAAATTCAACAGTAACAAGATACCGTGAAACTTCAAAAAGCTGGAACACAGAAACCTTGTCTTCTAGGTCTTGCAAGTTCTTCCTTTGACAGGTGCAGTCTTTACATTTCTATCACTCTCTTGTGGAACAGATCTGAGTTTTCCCTCTCTGACCTGTTTCTGTCTTATTCTGGCTTTCACAGTTTTACTGTATTTGTTTATTGGTTTGTGTAGGTGTTGGTTGTTGTTAGATGCCACTGAGTTGACCAAGACTAACAGTGATCCTATAAACAACAACAGATCTGAACTCTGCCCTGTTCTGTGCCACTGTCATAAGCCTGTAGTTATAGCCATTGTTTTTTGTTTTTTTGTTTGTTTTTATGCTAAAGAAGCTTTATTAAGGGGTCTCCCAGCAGAATTCCTTGGTCTGCAGAGAGACAAACAAGCAGAGGGACATACCAGGGAAATACTGCACCCTAAAGTAGATTAGGGCAGGTTTTATAGTAAGGGTCTTTAGGGAGGCAAGGGAGGGACATTCCATTTTGGTTTAGCCAGGTGGGTGGAGGGAAGGGAGGGGCACTCCATGGTAGTTGAGGTTGTTCACTCCCTTTGTTGACATGTTGAGATTCCTTGAATCCTTTGTTCTCCCTTTGACCTCTGACATCCCAGCCTCTTTAGTGAGAAAAAAGGGGTGATGTATTCTTTCTAGCTACTTCCTGCTGAACAAAGGTGAAGATCTGGGGCTCAGAGGCTGGATTGGAATGGCCCAGGATCTGTAGCCAGGGGACAATATGGATGTCAAGCAGCTGGTTTAAGTTGGCCATTTCTTTTATCCTGCTACTTGAAAGGTTACCCTGGCCTCTGCAATGGTGACTGGGGTAACTGAACCTGGGCATCTTTAATCTTCAGTGGTCAGGCCTAAGAGGTCAACCAGGATGGGGAATGGGTTTGTTGGAGGGCTACCCTCCTGTGGCTAGGCACCAAAGGGCAGTTGGCTTTCCAATGGCCCAGTGTCCCACAGATATAGCCATTGTTTTAACCCATCTCTTTGAGCATCTTCCTCTTTTACTGACACTTTACCTTTCTCAGCATGATGTCTTTTTCCATGGACTGGCCCTCTGACAACATATTCTAAGTGAGACATAGTTTCACCATTCTCTATAATATACAATACCTTTTCAGCATTTGTTTGATCAAAGACCCAGTCAAGATAATTGTTCTTTTAATTTCCACACCTAAAATAGAGAACAGTAACAAACAAATCAAATACTAATCAGTTCATTCAGTTAGCAAAATTAGTTAATATGCCTGAAAAGGATTTTAGTACATTGTTGTTATATTGACTAGAAAATCTCTTTTGTATATAAAATAATTATACTTTCATTTTTCAATGGTCAAATTAAAAATTTAGTTCCTTACTTATAAACTTCCTTCACAATTTTATCCTGCTGCCAAATTTCTTGAGTAAAAAATGAGTATGCTATTTGTGGCAGTGGCAAGCTAATGGTGGTACCAAGATAGGAAAATATATACCCTGTGACAATTTTGCATTAGATATTTGAAGAGTGTCTAGTAATTGTGTCCATGTTTGGAACCATTAAATAATTTTAAAAGTTCTAAAAACGGTTTCATTATAATGTATTATAGAACTATGAAATAAATATAATGAAGTCTCAAGCCTTCTGAGTAACTGAGAAAAAGAATCCATTTAAAAAAAAAATTAATATTTTTTTCGGTTCGAATCCACCAGATGCTCTGCCAGGAAAAGGAGGGACAATCTCCTCCTGTACCAGTCAGATCTGATTTGACGGTACACTCTCTCACACACACATACACACACACACACACTAAATAAATAAAAAAAATTAATATTTTTTTAATCTACAATTTTTTTCTTTTATTATACAGACATTTATTTCTTCTGCTTTACTTGAGGGTTGTAGACTTAATTAAGGCCTATAGAAAAAACTAATTCAGCACAGTAACTTTTAAAATTTTGTTGTAGGAGGGGAGAAAAAGAATGCTTAAGGTAAAAATACCAGAATCTTGAACTATTACACAGAATGGTAACTGTTGTTAAATACAAGTAGGTCTGGTTTCTGGTCCAGATGTCTGTAAGCAGAACTTTTTATAAATTGTTAACAAGTTGAAGCAAATGAAAAAGTTGACCCCCAAATCAAACACAGACTACCTACTGATTTTTCTACAAATATACACAGATGCAGATTTCCACACCTAGACTGCACAGTGGGATGAAGTTATCTTTAATACATCTAGCTGATTTGAGCACTCTTGGTAAAGAATATTTAGACTTGTTCTCACTAGCTCAACTCACTGCCATCTAGCTCAAACTACCTCACAGTGGGTTTTCAGAGGTTGTAAATCATACAGGAACAGGCTGTCCAGCTTTCTCCCTCAGACCTCAGAGCAGCTGGCTGACTTGAACCCACCTTTGGGTTGTCAATACAATTTCCCACCAGGGTGAGTTCTGGTCCCTCTCCTACGTCCTATTCTACAAGGGTTCCCTTTGTGTAATTAGGAGACCCTGAGACAATGAAAGAGTTCAGGCCAATTTAAGAAGCATTATAGACAGTCTACCCTGTGCCTGTCTCTTAGTAGTACAGACATATGTGCATGGTTGTTAATTGAAAAATGTGAAGGTTCAAGTCTATCCACAAGTCTCTTGGAAGAAAGACCTTTTGATCTACTATTGAAACATCAGTCAGTGAAAAGATGACAAAGAACCACTTCTAATGTGACATATGAAGTCAGTTGGAGTTGGAATCAATAGCAACTATCTCCCACACACCCCTGCCCCTGTGTTTAGCAGTGGGGTCACTAATACTGGGTTTTGGATTCCATTTTAGACCCTGTGTGGCTAGCTAAAGGAGCTCTGGTGGTTTACTGTGTAGCATGTTGTGCTATCTAAAAGGCTGTCTGCTCCTCGTGGTTTCAGTCCACCAGTTGTTCCTCAGGAGAAAGATGGGCAGTCCACTCTCATTAAGATTTTCAGCCTCAAAAAAAAAAATAAATAAATTTTTTTTCCAGCCTCCAAGACAGTAAGATCATTCTGAGCCTGAATTCACTGGATGGCAGTGAGTTTGAGTTTTGTGTTGGTTCCCTCCCTTTTCTTTTAGGTGCTTGCTAATATTAGTATCAAATAAGAACTCCAAGATTGGTAGATACTAAAATATACCCAGAATTATATTTTTTTCATAATAAACATGGACAGACTGGAATTGACTCTCACGATGATCTGATCTAGAGAATATTTCAAGGAGTAGAAAGGCTAGACAATTCATTTCTGCAGAGTTTTTATTTTTAGCTAATACTTACCAACCTACTAGGAAAGGTCAAGGAGCAGAAAATAAGGTACAAAGACTAAAGATATGTGATAGGGGTTGATCTACAGCATAAACGTACTGCAGTCAAGCTTACTTTTTCCTCTAAATGCAGGAATCTAATACAAAGACACTGGTAACATCCTGCTTAGCATGTGTTATTCACCTTGAGGTAGCAGTGACCCTGCCATACTCTATCCTCTACCCTCTAAACAGCTGTGTGTTCTCAAATTTAACCTTGACTGGCGAACAAACACCAGATGAGAAAAACCAACCCAAAATGTGTCACATTTCCTAATTTCATCACTTCATAATTTTTCAGCATTTGACACATCTTAAAATGACAAATGAGTTCTGTAAAAAAACTTGCATCATCTCGAAAGTTAAAAAAAAAAAAATCAGCCTTATACATAAAGAAGTTATTTGAAATACTGGCTTTCAAATTTGTTCACGTTCCAGAGAGTCAGTGTTCTTGATTATTTCTGTATATAAAAAACACTTACCTTAGAAGTGTCACTTTAGAAGTGACATAAATTATTAAGAGAAATAACTTTTAGTTAGAACCAGAGTAAAAAAAAAATCAGTCTTTAGAATGTGTCAAATGCTGACAAATTATAGCCACTGGATTATGAATTTAGGCAATGACAAACTCAAAAACCACTGGAGAAGGAGGAGCAATCTCCTCCTGTGTCAGTCAAACCTCACTCTATGGTGTCCCTGGCTTCCCACCACCCTTGCTGTGGACACCTCACGCTACACAAGGAGAAAAGAAAAGCCAATTAGCCAGCTAGTTTGGCTTTGCTTTTTTATTTTTTTTTTTAATTGGGAAAAACATATTGGGGGTACAAGGAGGTGAGGGTTGGGGGTAGAAGGGTGAGGATGGGCCAGGATGCAGCTGCAGAACTAAACAGTTTGGTCAGTGGGGGGAGCAGGTAAAGGAAATGATGAGGGTCCAGTGGGGACCAGATGCTACAGAGGAGTGACAAGTATTTTCCAATGGTAATGAAACCAATTGTCTTATTGATTTGGGAATTGGATGCTGACTCTCTGGTTTCTTCATGCTGAACAGGGGC